ACAAACGCCAAAGCCTACTTTTACTGTTCAACCGCCTGGACTGTTTTATCGAAAAAATGAATACCACAACGCCATATTATGTAATGTACTGGTTTTTATTTCAATATTGCTGTTGAAATAACCTTGGTGGATTATAACCTTCAAACCGTCCTATATAAAAGTTTGCTTCCATGCAAAAATTAACAAAAACTTCAATAAATTCAAATTTCATACATTTCTTTCAATTTGGAAGTTTCCCCGCAATTAATCGACCCGCAAATACTTGTATTTACGTAGTCGTTTAAAATTTGCATTTTAAATTGAAAAGTTTCCTACTCCATAGACCAGTCGTAGATTAATATCCACGGAAGAATTCTTTCCGAAGTTTTAAAATTGAGCTACGTGCAAAAACTCCCGCAATTAGCTTTTTTCTCTAATAGACGAAGTTCTGAAGCTTTTCGTTAGCAACTAAGGCAGTCGGATAAATATGGAAGGGTCAGAAGTTTTCTTACATCGAAGTTCTTTTCTTTCTCGTTTCGTGTTGTGCATATAACTTTTGGGTACAGTTTTTTGGTATATTTGACACACTAAGCACTATTATAGTAACCATTTTGATACAGAATCACCAATATTCAGTTTTAGATCTCTACTAGTTTTTATAAATGGACTGTTTGATTGTAAATATATGGAGTAAAGACGTGCCAAGTATATTGTGTATGATATCAGAGCTCCTCTTCCTCACATAACTTTAACCTTCCAATTAGGCTACACAGTTTCGAAGGCACCTCCGTCGCATTGACAATTTCTTGTCCTTTTTCAAACAGTAGACAACGTACGAGTCGTAGACCTTCAAACTCTGATATCTCCTATTCCTCCGGGTAGAACCTACAGAAACAGTTTTGCACTTAGAAATTTCCTGAAGCTTTACTCCAATAAATCTGATGTCAACTAATTCGATGGTCATTTTCCTTCTTACATCTGTCCAAGAGTTTCCCGAGGTTATTTTGGTACGTTATCCTAATCCTGTCTTAATAACGCAGCTAACAATTCTGCAGGAGGATTTGAGTCCTGTATCTTCACTAAAACTACACAAGATGATTCCAAAAGATTGGCAGGTAATAAATTAATTATCTGTACTAGGAATTAATCAAAAACAGAGAAAATCTAATTAAAACGAACAGATTGTTTTTGACTCAAATTCCTAGTTGGAAAAAGTCTCTGTTGTTTGAATCCGCAGATACTGGTTACAAGGTTTAAAATAGGGAATTCTTGCCACATGCACTGATTTTCATGAAGATTGGTGAGTAAGCTCATTTCACCCTCCTTTACAAAAGTTACATATCCATAATGTGAGTTTTTTTATTTTAGGGGGTGAAAACTACCCAATCTTGCAAAAAAAAACCGTAAAAACCATAGATTTCAGTGTTATGTCAATAAAATAAGCATTCTTTTACGTTTTGAATAATAATTTTTGATTTGTAGCAACATTTCAACCCTTAAAATCCACTCTTTATGGGGGAAAAAACAAAAATTAGTTTTCGCGGCCCTGAAATGTTTTGACGAAGCAATAAGGAAAAATTGAATATTTTATTATTTATTTAATTATTATTTATTTATTATTAATTGCAACGTTTCAACCCTTAAAAACCACCCCTATTGCAGAAAATAAAGCAAAAAATTTTTTTCACAGCTTCATAGCATTTATAATGAATGAAAGACTCATCACTGTTAATAATATTACTGATGATTCATTGCAACGTTTCAATCCTTAAAAACAATCCTTAATGAGGAATTGAAGAATTTTTAAACCTGCTTCAAAACATTCAACGATTATTACTAAATTCAATGAGATTACTTAAAACTCGAAACATAAATTATGTAATTAGTGGAAGGGAAAATAAAAATTATCTTTGTATTATACAATTATTATACTTTATTATCAAAAATTTAGAGAGAATTTTCATTTTTGATCCATCCCCAATCAGTTGGATTAATTACCAATTCGTTTTTCAGGATAACTTTTTTAATTTTTAATATTATTTATCGCTCCAAAAAGCAATTTGCAGGGAATTGCAAGAGCTACAAATCAACCTTTATAGTTGAAGGGTCTTTATTTTCGATATTTTTATGTTTAGGCTCAAAGAAGGTGGTCCTTACACGCAAATGCAAACTAAAAAACGTAATATCTAGATAATTTTCGCTCTACAGAAAAATTGAAAGACAGCAAAAACATTATAAAAAAAGACCTTTAATTTTGAATTCTTGCATTTTACACGTATCTTGTTTATTTAGTTTTTGACTTACATATTTCGAAAAAGAGGAATTTTTAAAAAAATTAAATTTAGGCATTCTAAACCAGCCAAACTTGCAGAGCCTATTATTAGTACCTTAATAAAGTCAACTGTACATGGATTACGCTTAACGTAGAATGAAATGTCCCTAATATTGCCACTAAACCGCGAAACAGCGCCACGTAACGTTTTGGAAACTTACTACTACTTAGCTCCTAATGAGTAGGCAACACTTTATACTTTGTGAACTGATTACAGCGCCATCTATCGTATGGAAACTATATCTCACTTATATCCTCTATTATTAAATTATTTTAAAAATTTTAAAAGTAAACCCTTATACAAATAGGAGGAATAGTCAAGTGTCAATACTTTTGAGAACAGATTATTTAGTTAAACAGAAAATGTAGCGAAAAACTAATATTCAGTACTTTTCTAATTTACTTCTGCTTTGATAACGAAACTAGAGGTTTCAGAAACGTCATAGTGTTATTGTGATGTGTATGTTTTTCCAGTGCGTAACCTTCTTCAAACTATGGCAAAATATCCAAATTATAACAAACATTTATAATGCCACAAATAAATACAGACAATTTCTTCTTATTTANACACTGAACTATGGGAGAATGTTTAGCTGGTAGCAAACTGAAATAGTTACTCATTTAGTGGCGAGTTAATTGAGCTCTTTGTGCATAGGTTGCACTACATCCTATGATTATTAACATTTTTTTGAATTGTTTGGCCGTGTTCTTTTATTCATCATTTCGATGTGATGGATTCCGTAGAGCCAATAAAAGATCAGAATTTTTTAAACAGACCAATCGTAATACATCCGTGGAATTCACCGCATTAAAACGAGGAATAAAAGAACACGGCCTCTGGAGTACCTGGACTAACCCACAGATGGCGCCAAAAATACGAATATTAAATAGCACTAACCACGCAGTAAATTTTAATATCAATCGAATCTGGCAAATATTGAAAAAAAAACTTGAGTACTTTCTGCAAGTATCCGAGAACAACGAGTACTATTAAGAATGTATTGTAATTGTTTTTTCATTTGAGTTCTCCCATCACTATCTACAACAGTTTTAGGATGAACCACTTGAATATTCAGTTCAGTACAATGTAATTTTATCATTTTTTACGTCTGTTTAGTACATGTCATGGTAATAACATGTTACAATTCTTGTTTCTCTTTGAATTTTATGTTGGTTGTGGTACTCATAAATTAAATCTCATTCAGTGTAAAAATTAAAATTATTTAATAATTTTAACAATCAATTTACTAATGTCATAATAAAGCCAGAAATGTTACCTGATACCATGCAGTTTTAAAGCAGAAAAACTAATAAATAATTACGATCAACCAACTTTTATTGTAAAATTTCCTAAATTAGTTTTTATCCAATTTATCCACATTTCATCAACGATTTTACTAAACGTTATTTCCTGAAATACGTTACTTCTACTTAATTCAACAAAACCCATATTTTTAAACATGTTTATACTTATTGTATTAATATATGAAATTTTAACTATAAATTGTTTTACACCTAGAGTATCAATACCATACATAAACATAAGTAATATTGCCTCCCATCCACATTTTTTTCCTCTTGCCCATTTCTCAGCGATCATAATTTCAGCTTCTGCACATAATCTATCATCAGCATTAGCAAAAAATAAGTTTGTGTCTCCAATCATTGCTTCTAAAAATTTGATTTCAAATTAGTATCGGTAAAGCACAAAGTTAATAAAATTACCTATTTCATTTCCTGTTAACTCATACTTTGATTTATCTAGGATAATAAAGGTACATTCTGAAAGACGAACATAATTTTAAATAAATTTAAAATTAATGAATTATATACTGAACTATTTTCATCCATAAGCCATGATTTCTGCATTGTATATTCCTCCTCCAGAGTGAGAGGTTCCGAAGCTGTCAAGATTTGCAGCTCCTCAGATTTCATCCATTCGTGATATCTAGAAATATTTGTTTATAAACAGATACAAAATTTGTAAAATAAACTGTTTTTACTTTAATACATGTTCTTCCTTATATGGTACCAGAACCACATTTTTACCACAAATAATAGTATCTTTATTAAAATACATTTTAAAAAATTTTAGATTAATTAAAGGTTAACTGTAACTGCATGGAGGGGGAATATACAGAGAGTATATGTATAGTAGGCAAGTTCGGTATTAACATGTAAACGCTCCAGATATGTTTTCTTCTTTTCTAATTGTAGGAGATGAAAAGACAAAGAGATACATCTAGAGCATCTAGATGTCAATACCGAACCTGCCTAGCGAATCACTATGAATGAAGATACTTTAGCGACCATGAACCTAAATCACAGAAAGAGCGTTCTGTGGATCTAGAAAGAATTTGTGACGTTGATTGAAATTGTAAAGAAGTGCATCGACCACTATCCGCTGCAGCGGCTCCAAACTCTAAACACAGAGGCGGTACTTCAACCGCAGCTAACCTACGCCTCCACGGCGTGGGGTCACGCGGCAAAAAGCCACTTAAAGTCATTACAGGCTGTGGAAAACATCGCCCTCCGCACGGCCACCGACGCGCCCTGGTACGTAAGAAACACTGACATATTACGAGACTTACAATACACAAACGCTACACAGACAATAAGACAAAACGCGGAGAAACGATTTGACGTAGCCGCTAGACATGACAATCCCCTCCTCAGGCAAGCCGTTGACTACGTACCCGACGTGACCGACAAACACAAAAGACCTAGACACCAACTTTTTGACCCTGGGTGACCACCCCAATGACCCCCCCCCCTGCCCGCTAACCTTTTCTGTTTCAGAGACAGCCAGGATCAAGAAACGAAGACAACGACACACACACACATACACACCCCCCATACCCTCCTTAACCCTCCCCTCCCGCGCTAGCCTAAGGGCCACCTTAGCAAAGCGCATCCCAGGCTGCATAGCCGCACTACCCTACCCAACCATACCACACATAAACATGACAATACCCCCGGGGTTTACACAGACGAGCCGGCGAAGCAAGAAGAGCGCCAGAAGAAAGGGCCCTAGCCGGCGGGGCCCAGCCAGGACAAAAGGAGGTCCCACAAAGCGCCGGCCGCATTTGCGGTCGGGGTAGACGACGGATGGGGCCCACCTACGAAGGCTGTCCAGGCCTATACGAGATGAGGCAGGATAAAGAGGGATAATACCCCTCGATCCCAAATCATTGAGGCCAATTTCTAGCCATGGAATAATGGCGGCATGGCAAGCGAACTATGGAACAGGCCATGGTACGGCTGTCGTGTGGAAAGACTCTCATAGACCATGGCATGGAGACTGCACAAGGAGCCTGAAATCCATGTAAACAAAAATTTTACCAAAATAAGAGGGCGCTAGTGTCCTATATGTACCGTTTAGAGAGGAGAATTAAAAATAGCGGCAGTTTTTATTTACTATAAAGACAAGTTGCAATAATTTGTGACTTGACTTCTACTTTTTAGGTTAGTATACTATCTATACCTTCCCGATATATCTACTCAATTCATTATAAAATAAAAATTTTTATTTGCTTACTTCATTCGTATTTATTTTGTTACATTCACTTCGGTACACATGGAACACTAGCGCCACCCCAACTGCAGCCATTTCCTGGACAAATTTTGTCAATTTTCCCGTATGAGTTCGTGCTCCTTGTCTAGTCTCCCTGGACCATGGGCTGTTCAGAGATGGCTCCGACGCCGCCATTATTCTATGGCTAGAAATTGGCCTCAATGATTTGGGATCGAGGGGGATTATCCCTCTTTATCCTGCCTCATCTCGTGTAGGCCTGGACAGCCTTCGTAGGTGGGCCCCATCCGTCNGTGAGACCAAGATTTGCTTCTTGATTAAACATTTGTTTATTGTTTGATTTATATATTTTAGGGTAGTAAATTTTGAAGTTCTATTAAAATAGCACTATGCACTTCTAATAAAGTTATTACAGTTGAATCAAGCACCTAAACCAGGAGTCGGCAAGTAATTTTAAGCAGACTCCATATACTTTGAAAATTTTTAACGAGGTCCAGAAAAAACTCATACTTTACTAATGTTTTATTTCAATTTGCATTCACAAAATAATATGAAATACAATAGATAGGCATATTTGTATTCAAAAATCAATGGGAGAAATTACATTTGCGGTCTTGAATCAGTTTTTTATACTAACTTACTAACGATTAAAAAAATTAAACTATATACATATACAACTTACACAGTAAGTAACTTATTTAATTTTCTAACTTTACTTCTTTTAGAGTCATACGTGCAACTTGATTTCCTTTTAGTAGAATTTATTGCCTATTGCATAATGTAAATGCTACAGAAATTTTCTCTCTTGTCCACTTAACCCTCTTCTTCTTTTTTGTAAGTAGAGCGATTTGATTATCTGTTAAAACTTTTTTTAATAGAGCTGTTGAGGGATCTGTTTTTTTTTTTATTTTGTAATCAGAGCACGACACTGTTTAACTTTGTAATATCTCAGTTGATCATTTAACGCTTTTATTCTGCTTGTACTAGAACGTTTAATTTCTGCATACCTTGAAATTAGAGTATTATATTTCACAGAAAGATCTTTGTACAATTTCTCATAATCTGTACTACATGTTGAAGAGCACACTGACATATCACCAAAAGGAAGTACACTAAACTCCAGATTAGTTTCAGAAGTAGAAGGAACTGCAGTTTCAGGTATATTTTCTATGTTGCTCTGTTTTAAAATTTCTTACACAACTGCTTTTTTTTCACGGATTAATAGTCTCTTCTCTCTGGATGAAGTACACATTTTTTTACTCTGAAGTGGCAAATGCATCGTGGGAACAGCCATTTTCTTTAACATTTTTTTTGTAAGTAATCCTAAAAACACATTACTTAAGTAATTTTCATTAAATCAAAAGAAACCCAGTATTATAAAACTGCACATCGAAGACCAGGCATCTTTTTTTTATTAAAGATTAACCTAAAAACATAAAGAAATTTAAGTATTTATATATATGTCTAAAAAAATATATTAAATTTATTACCTTTTGAGTAAAATTAAAACTCTATTACAGGCTTTAAAGTCTCTGAACACTAAACTACCACAAACAGTAACACAATAATAACGAACTATATTAATAAGTTAACAAGAACTAACAACAACAAACTACGTATATAACGTCAATTAATAATAACAGTGACGATAAATCCTCTAAACGAACAATAATCCACAAAAAACACACGGAAAATAAGGAAAATGAGCCATTTTACATATGTAAACATAGCACGGAGGTAACGTAGTGACGTCACGTATTCGAGCGTTTGACATTTTATTTGGCGAACATAGGCTTAAATGGGATCGAGCAATCCTCTTGTATAAAATCCTTGACTTATTACAGCAATAAGTAGGCACTAGCGCCATCTACCCGCTACTAGAACTATTACTTTGTAAATCAGTGGTATTGACGAGGAATCAGCGGATACTATTTTAAAATGTAATCGGATTGAATGCACCCTTCGATTCCTCATATTAAGAGAAACAAGCACCGTTCTCACACCATAACATCCCCACAAAAAATCTTCTTGATGAACTCGTCCCTTTCCGTCGAAAGAAAACGGAAATGTAGCGGAACGGGCGGACCCTGTGTACGCAGAAACATAATACAACTTCAAAACCCCGCATTAGGCGCGTTCTGTTCGAGGTTCTGCGGCGTAACAGAGAAAAGCAGGGGTCGCAGGAGGGAAAACTGCCGACGCACAGTTCCATCTACTGTGTCAACATCACGGCGGCCGTAATTTATTGAATTTGTAATTACCACTTGCGAACCCACATACGGGGGAGACAGATGAATGGATTGTGTAATTTCGCAGTGTTTTGCATAGCTTTAATAGATGGCGGTGTAATCAAATCTTACTTAAGTCGACCTAGACCTGGGTGCGAACCGTTTTAACTCTATGCAAACGCGATTACAGAAGTTTCAGTCGATTTTGGGATTTGCTAACAGCGTTTTAGAGTTAAATAATTCAATTTTGTTGTAATTGTCGTTTCTGGGCGACCTTTCCATTTAATATTTCCATGGAGCACGAAAAATAGGGTCGGTTCCATAAGCGAGGATCTGTATAAAATGTTACGTAAGCGTAAAACACTTTTATCACAGCAGATACGTTATAATGCTCTGTTTTAGTATCATAAGGCTGTTTGTTATTCAGACTATAATGAAATTCATTACACTACTGGTATTATAATGAAAAAGGAAATGCATATTAACCCTTGAAATTTTATTGGAACTAAACTTTTCATTACAAATATTAAAAACGCAGTTTGCTAAATTAATGGTAGATGCTCAGCTAGTTGACATATTATTTTCTTGCTCACAGCACTGTCATGAAAATTTACACAGTTCCTAAAATCTTGACAGGAACATATAGTCCTGTAGCCAGGGGGGTTCCAATTGCCTCCTTCATTTAGATGGGGTTACCCAATTGTTTTTTGTGTATTTTGAGCTGCAGAACACGAATTTTTTGGGTAGAAGTTTGCCCGGATGTCGATAAGTTTTTTATTAACAGAAAACTTGCAAAATACTGAGAACTTAGTTTTTGGCAAAATAAAGTATTAAAGTAATTATTGTAATATTGCAAATTTTCATTAAATTGTTAATGTTTCGTTCAGTTTTCATCGTTTCTTTGGTCTAGAAATGAAGAGTACGCGTCAAGATCGTGTATTAAATGCCTGTAAGAAGGCAACCGCTCTCTTACATACATGGCGGCGCACCCTTNCAAAAGGGTTGAATGTGGCTGCTCTATAGAATTGTCATCAGCAAAAGTATGACAAAAAGACACGTACTATCTATAACACAAGCCGACAAAATTTGGGCGACCCTCTAACCCAGAATGCACTTTTTCAAAAGAATTTGGTGCGCTGAATTTGAATCCGAGGTCTAACTTTCTCAATTGGCTCCGGTTTTCGAGATGTCCTAATCTAAAAGTGCCAAAATCGCGGATTTTTTGACATATTTGAGGTTATGTTACATCGATAAGTAATTTTTTTTGCTAAAACCATTAATGGGGTCTTAAAGTACTATACTTACTCTAAAACGCACTTGGATTTATCCCGATTTCATGTTTCGTTTTAGAGACATCGCATGTGGAAATTTAGTAGTTTGGATTTACATATTTCTCGATTTTTTAATATACTCAACACAGCACCACAAACCTAAATTCATGGGCACCAGGAAGTAGGCATTTTACAAATTTTTGGGGTCGCTGATCATGAATCTGAACTCCA